CTTCTTCTTTTCTTCTCGGTCTACCCGGCGTTGTAGTTTCTCCAGACGTGCCTCGACCCAGCCCACACGATCCCGAGGTTGCTCAACGTGTGAACGGGTCGTGTGCCTGGGGTGGCTTTCGGCTTCTTCCTCTCGTGGTGCCCGGCTGTGCTGGGGCTCATCGCGTGGGGATGGCTCCGTTCGCCTGGTCTGACCAGGTCGTCCGGCTCCTCTCCCTGCACGATTAAAGGCACTAGCTGGAATGGTTTCTACCCCAAGCCGCTCTTTTGCTGACCGGTTCTGATTTCGGCCATCATGGCCAAGTCTCAGAAAGGCCGACCTCCTAGATCCTTCTGGCTGTACTGCCTTTCCCTTCAACTTCTTGATCGCCTGGGGGACGTCCCAATCCTCGTCTTTGATGTGCACTGAACGCACATCCTCGTCCGAGGTCACCTTTGTCTGTGACCTACGGGACCGGCTCTTTCTAGACCGGGATGGACCAGCTTTATCCATCTCCCCGATCAGGTTTATCGGAACGATCGGGCGAATGACGTTAGTTTGAGGCGAGGATTGTGGATACAATCCCGGATTGAAAAGTGAAAACCCTCCCGGCTGCTGGAACATGGACATGAAATGTCCAAAATTCTGAAGAGCCTGGCTGTACATTGGATCAAGGGGTCCGGGGAAATTTGAAGGAAAAACGGGAACAGGGTTCACGGGGGAAGTGAATGGGATAGGAGGTGGAATGGTGATGATGGGGGTAGGAACCTGGCTTGACGGTTGGGAACTTCCTCCCGGGAATGAAATGACATTCTCAGCGGGAGTAGAAATTTGTGAGATCACGGTTTCCTGATTACTGGCCATGACTTTTTTCTAATAGGTCCCATGGGTGGCGCCAATTTGATGGTGTAAATTATCACGCAAAAATTAAGTGTGAGTAATCGGAAGGGTTGTAGGTGGAATCACCTGTAACCCGGTTTGTTATTAAAGATAATAGGAGTTATTACAAATACAAGCCGTGTTCCAATTAATTTTGTACGGAGTGTTTACTCCGAAAATTCCCATAAATATTATTAGGATTCGTGCTCAAGCACGTCTCTGATTATTCAACCGGTCAGGCAGCTGACCGGCCCACCAGGTGCACTTGAGTAAATCTTCGGGTATTGGCATCTGGTCTCCTCATCCAACCGGTCAAATAACCCAGGCTGCAAAAGACGCGTGCTGTTCGGTGAACCAACCGGGTGGTATCCTTGGGTTATTACCCATCACACACTGATTAAATGGGGAACTTGGTGATGGGTTTATATAGCTAAGGGTTCTCCCACCTTAACAGCTAGCTTTTAGGGTGTGGCTCTCCCTTGTGTTGTATCAAGCTTCTAAAAGTAAAGAACAATATCTTTGTTTTATGACGAACGAGCTTGAGATTACTTTTGCTAAGTTTTTTCTGGTGAGAGTGAGGGAGTGGAGTTTCTTTTGGTCTCTTTTTGGGCCATTTTATACTTCTCTATCACTTTTCATGCTCTCGATCTCTAGAAAAAATACATACAAATGCAACTTTTTTGTTCTTCGATCACGCACACGATTTTTAGGAAGAGAGTAAGCTAATGGATTTATCAACTATTATCACATTGTTTAACGGTATCAGAGCACTAGACCAAAATCACATTGCGCTATTAGATGATTAGAGATATATTTCTCATCTTATCTCTCCAATCGTTTGCTCTTCATCCTATCGCTCCGTCGTTCTCCGATTCTAGCCGGTGCCCCATAACTCTCCTTAGTTCGATTTTCGCCAATATAAGACGCTGGTTGTACAGAAAGTACCGTGCAGTTGGCTGACGGTATAATTTACCGATTGATATTTCATAATACTTTTGGATATTATACATAGTCATTGATACAATTTGATAATAATTTGTCTTATTGAATATTGAGATATATGTCCTTATATATAGGGATTACAAGAGAGAATCATATTCCTAATAGGAAAGAAATAAAGTAATTATGGTAATACAAGAATAAGGAAACTAAATAAAATAATATTAGGAGTCTTCCTATTATCCCGCCGCAAGCTGATCAACGGATACGAGGGGCAGGTTAGAACAAAAATAATGGAACGGAGTCGGAGGAAGCGGTTTTGTTAGTATGTCGGCAAGCTGCTCAGAAGAAGGAACATGATGTGTAGTCATAGTGCCAGCCATAACCTCATCTCGAACAAAGTGACAGTCAGAGCCAACATGCTTCATGCGATCATGGAGAACGGGATTCTTGGTGACACAGATTGTGGACTCATTATCACAATAAATCTTTGGTTTCGTAGGCGGAACATGTAGAGCATCCATAATATAACGAAGCCACATCGCCTCTGCCATCCCCGCGGCCATAGCGCGATACTCAGCTTCGGTGGAGGAGCGCGAGATGCGAGTCTGTTTTTTTGTGCACCATGAGATAAGATTCGGCCCCAGCATAAGAAGATACCCAGTGGTGGAACGACGATCATCTTTGCTATTAGCCCAGTCAGAGTCCGAATAAACAGGAATATCAAGAGAGCCTTTTCTGAACAGAAGGCCATAAAAAGAAGTACCCTTCAAGTAGCGAAGAATACGTTTGAGAGCCAAGTAATCCTTCTCTGTAGGATTATGCATGGTCTGAGAAACTCGATTCACAACATACTGAATATCAGGGCGAGTTACCGCAAGATAGTGTAGACCACCCACAAGACTACGGAACAATGTTGGGTTGGAGAAGGTGGATGAGATCTCCTGGGTTGGCCGCGCCGCCATTGGAGTGACAGTGGGTTTGCAATCAGTCATGCCAGCCCGTTGAAGAAGATCAAAGATGTATTTTGTCTGATGAAGCAAGATAGTATCCGCAGAGCGACGAACTTCAATGCCAAGAAAGAAATCCAGAGGACCCAAGTCTTTGAGACGAAAATTTTTATGCATAGCCTGAGTGACAGCAGAGATGAGATCAGAAGAGCTCCCTGTAATAATGATGTCATCCACATATAGGAGAACAATGACCATGCCGCGGGGGCTGTGAAAAGTGAACAGACTGGTGTCATGATGACAGCACTGGAAGCCAAGTCCCTGCAAAAAAGTAGCAAAACAGGTGTACCAAGCACGAGGAGCCTGTTTAAGGCCATACAGAGATTTGTGTAGCTTGCAAACAAACTCAGGCCTATTTGGATTGACGTAGACATATAAATATCCTCATCGAGTGTACCATGGAGAAAGGCATTGGTAACATCAAGCTGGTGAAGAGGCCAATCATAGTGTAGAGCAAGAGTGAGTACCAGACAGATGGTTTGCTACTTGAAAACCGGGTTGAACGTCTCTTTATAATCAATGTCATACTCTTGATGGTACCCTTTGGCCACTAGACGAGCCTTGTACCGAGAGACGGAGCCATCCGGATTTCGTTTTATGCGATACACCCACTTGCAACCAATAGGATCTCGGCCCTTGGGTAGGGGCACCAAATCCCATGTGCGCTGTTCATTCCGAGCTGCAAATTCCTCATCCATGGCATGGCACCAATAGCTATTCTTGGAGGCTTGGTGATAGGTGTGAGGTTCAGATGTAGGAGGAGAGGTATCAATGGTGGTAGCAGTATAGGTTTTAGGCTTAAAACTGCCTGATTTGGCACGGGTTTGCATGGGATGGGCATTTGTTGTGGTGAGCAGTTCACTCGACGGTCGACCGTGTGGGGGTGAGCGGGTGATGGTATCGACCGTTTGTAGAGATCAGAGAGGGGGTGGAAGGGCGGTCGGCCATGGGGTGGTGAACGGTCCATGTGGTGAACCGTCTGTAGAGGTTCAGAATGGGTGTGCGGCGACGGTCGACCGTGGGTGGATGTATGAGGGGAACGGTCGACCGTTTGTGGAGCAGTAGCAGACGGAATGATTTGAGAGCTGTGCGGTGCCGGACACTAAGTTTGAAGTAAGGGAGGGAACATGATTAAGTGAGGGAAGGTGAAATTTACCATTCGGGGTGTGAATTGAGCATGAACCTGTGTGAGTGATGGGGAAAGTATGACCATTACCTACAGTAATAGTTTCAGTGCCATGGTAGGGAGTCGAGTTTGCACCTGTGAAAAATCATGCGTAACATGAGTATTAGCACCTGTATCAAGGTACCAATCACCAGTTTGGTTGGTTGTGATTGCATGCATAACACGAGAATTGGTAGCCGAGTTGCTCTCAGTAGAAGAATCATCATAGCGGTACCAGCAAGTAGCAGCAGAGTGGCCACGTTTTGAACAGATCTGACACACTGGAAGATCGCGTGACGGTCCGCGGCCTCCCCCCTTCCGTAGCTTCGACCGCCGTGACCGGATCCAGAGTCTCACCCAGAAGACGGTCGACCGTTCGGTCCTCCTCGACCGCGACCTCGACCGATGTTTGTGTACAGTGCAGAGTGAGAAACTCCGGAGGCGGAATCTGTAATACTCAATTTGTGCTCAATTTCAAGATTTATTTCTTCAGAGGTGAACCACCCAGAGAGTTGATTGAGACTTATATTCTCATTGTTCATCCGTATATTTTTCTTGAAGGAGGAATATTCATGAGGGAGGCCTCGGATAACAGCATTCACCACATCTCTCTCAGGGATAACCTCGTTGAGAGCATCCAAATTGGTGAGGATAGTGGCAACTTCATCAAGGTACTGGGTGATAGTTTTAGTACCTTTTCGGAGTGTGTTAAGTTTGTTCCGTAGTTGATAGATGTGAGCGGTAGAAACAGAATTATATCGGGCAGCAAGAGCGTTCCACAGATCGACAAATGTAGTGAAGTTGTGGGCATGCTTGTGAACAGACGGACTGATGATGGCAAGAAGGCATGCACGGATCTGAGTATCGATCACCGTCCATGTTTGGAACTCCGGGTTATGGTTTTCCTTGCCATCCTTGGATAGGATTTTTGGGGGCGCAGCTTCATGACCATCGATCCAACCAAGAAGAAGGTTGGCCTCAAGGGCAGTTCTGACATTGAGAGACCATGCAGGGTAATTTGAATCAGTGAGCTTTTCTGGGATAAGAGTATGGAGATTGCGGAGAAGAAGCTTAACGCCAGAAGGAAGCGAAGCAAGCGGATCTGAAGGTTGAGCCATGGTCGCCGTTTACGGTCGACCGGCGAGAGGAAGGAGACCGGCGGTGAAGCACAGTCTCAAAAAAAACTAGGGTTTAAACCTAGGCTCTGATACCATGATACAATTTGATAATAATTTGTCTTATTGAATATTGAGATATATATGTCCATATATATAGGGATTACAAGAGAGAATCATATTCATAGTAGGAAAGGAATAAAGTAATTATGGTAATACAAGAATAAGGAAACTAAATAAAATAATATTAGAAGTCTTCCTATTAGTCATGATTGACATTGTATATTTTGACTCTTATTTTAAAAATAAAAACATAAAATATTTATTTAATGTATTTTCAATCTTTTATTCTTATTTTAATCTTTTTCTGTGCCTGTTTGGGAACAGCGTTAGCGATTAGCGTTAGCGTTTTGAAAAAGTTATCTACGAGCAGCGTTTAGCGTTAGCGTTTTCAAAGCGATCTGCATCGTTAAAATTTTATCCAAAATGCTAACGCTAATTTTTAACGCTATTCCCAAATAGGCCCTCTATATATGGTAATATATGGAGTACGCTAGACCACATAACAAACCCCCAACTATACAAATACGGAGCAATTATACTCCTACAGCGGGTGGATTGGTACTCCGTAACACACGCAACTTGAATACTCCGTATTTAATTCCCAATTAAAATACATACCGTACATCTACGGTATTGTAGTCCCGGCCGCGACCTCAAGTTGCACAATCATATCTCCAACCCACCCTTACTCTATTCTCTTCCATCCTAAAAAAATATTTTCTATTTTGATTTTTTTATAATATTTTTTTATTATAAATTAAACACAGAAAAATAAATAATATAAAAATTTGTTATATGAAAGCTATACCATAAGGTGAATTGAACTATATTGAATTTATATTATAATTAAATATATTTTTTATTCAATTTGTGATCAAAGAATATGATGACTATTTGATAAAAATAATCAAAGCAAGAGATGTTCTAGGATTGGAGGAATAGTCCGTAGTATTTGTAATTTATACGGAATATATATGTCTCTCCTTTCATTTGGAAATACTCCATAATACTTTTAATTAATTAATGTTAACCTTTTAGATTAACTTTTAATGATATAGATCACCATGACCCTTCTAACCTAAGGTTATTTAACCTTGAAACAAATCGGACCAGACACCTACGCTGCTCCTTTTACAAAATTGATGGTTCCAAAACCTATAACCTCCTAGCCCAAATCAACAATCTGCAGGGTGGGATCGGAGCCGCGGAGTTGGAAGGAGAAAAATTGACACAAATATCTTCTTCTACTTTCAAATTTTATTTCTAAAATTCTTGCGGTTTCAAAACATTACACATGCACTCTCTCTTATGATTTTCTTCTCATTTTCTGGCAAAAAGATGGTATTGATGTTTATTTTTCAAACCACACGGGGCAACATACGTCATTTCTTGTTTTCCCTTTTTTCTCTTAATTGTTTCTTTTTCTCCGAAAAGTTTTGTCAATTTCTTTTCCAAATTTTTCATAATGTTTTAAACAATGCAAAATTGTTTGTGTTTGAAATAAAAATAATAAAAATAATATATACGCCACCTAACTCAAATTCAATATTTTCAATTTTTGTTCTCTAGAATAAAAAAAAACTTCTACTTGAAAGTTTAGAAAAAGAAAATCTAGAATAAGAAATAAAAAATTTATGAAAAAAATTTATAAAAAAGAGAAACATTTTTGTCCCCAAAAGAACTTCCCTTATCTATTAAAAACCACTTTTGCCCCTTACTTTTTCATACCTTACATATCATATCATACCATTTTACTAATAATCTACATATCAAATCTTACCTTTACCCATCACATTAAGGGTATTTTTGGAAAGTTAACACAAAAATATCTCTCCCTTAAATCCTCAAAATGTCAAAAGGAGAACTTCTTTTGGGGATGGAGGTAGTATTTTATTCCTAATTTTTTGAAGTTCCTAAAAACTAGTTTTAGTTTTTTATTTCGGAAGAAAATTATTATTTTTAAAATGAGACCTACATATGCAGTATGCATATCTTAATTATTTTTCATTTATTTTTTATTTTAAACACAATTAATTTTAAATTTTAAGAACATTATAGAAAAAAATATTTTTAAAATGAAATGAAAAAAACCTTTATAGATAAAGAAACAAATAGAGCAAAAAGAAAAATATAAAAAAATGTGAGAAATGAGCTTTGGTTCCCCTGCAGATTGAAAAATAGCTAGCTAGGCAATAATGCTCCATCTTCGCCCATGGATGATTGGGAATTAATAGAGGGAGTACGTGTCCAATATTTTGAAACTGCAAAATCTTAGGAATAAAGTTTAAAAATTGAGGAGGTATATGCTGATTTTCCAAATTACTGATGACATTGAAGTTATTTTGGCAATAAAGAAATTATGATTGTCTAAAATGTCATTGAGTGTTAGGATTTGATATGCTCTCTCTCTCTAAAAACACTTCATATATTAAACTTTAAGGAATTTAAGAAGATTATATTTTGGTATTAACTTCCAAAAAATAGTCATGTGGTTCTAAATTACTACTTCCATACCAAAGTATTGGTACATTTTGACTTTTTAGAATCAAATTGGATGAACTTTGAATTTCAGTTAAGTAAAAATTACGATGTGTATTAGTATAAAAATGATTTTATTAGTACTTTGAGTCACGAATATAATGCGTTATAAAGTTATTTGAAAGGCATATTTGAATATTTGATATTTTAAATCTATTTCTTACAAATGAAATTTTTAATAAAATTGACAACCAAATCTAGGAGGGAGTATTTAATTAGCCGACTTGGATATGAGATTGTTTGTAAAATGGTGTATAATAATGTAATCTACTATTAAAAAAATCTAATCTTGTCTCCTGTCCATTAATATTAATACAAATTAAACTGCTCCATATAAAAGTGTGATTGTTTGTTTACCTTTTAAGGAGAAGCTAATAAGACATACTCCGTACTATAAGATCTACAAGTACTGCATCCGTAGATATATAAGATGAAGAAAAATGTGGGTTCACACAAAATGCAGAATTATGACGAACGAGGATTTTGTTAACCGAACTCGAAATTATTCGTTAAATATATAGTTCAAATCCGATCAAACTCAAACCTAATTCGACCGACGTGCTTGTCATCTCTAGTTGAGAGTGTTTTTGAACAATATAACTTTTAGGTGAAAGGTGTGATTTTCGTAAACTTTATATAGAAGTAAAAAATGTAAGTATGGACAAAATCAAAAAGTTATTCAATTCAGAATAAATTCTTAGAAAAAATTTAAGCAGCTATATATCTTTTCTTTTTTTTTTGCTTAAAATGTACGGAGTATTTAATTATCTAAACATTTTTAACTTTCCATTGACGCTAGCATTTTGTAGTATTTAAGTTTCAAACTTGAAACACATACGAAGTTTTTAATGCCCTTTAAAGTTATCCTTTTGAAGCCCCGGGACTTCGTACCGGGGCTTCAAACTTTCTCTCTCTGCCACGTCAGCTTTAACTTACACCCAAAATTCATTGGAAATGGGTTTGAAGCCCCAGGACTTCAAACTGGGGCTTCAAACCTTCATTTTTTACATTTTTAAATATACATCTTTAAAAATTAAATTAATAAAATGTAATTAACTTATTATTTAATTATATTGAAACACGAATAATAAAAAAATACATTCATTAAATAAAAAAAGCGACAATAATAAAAAAAGATACATTAATAAAAAAACTAAGATAAATTATATTTCACCTTGATCTCTCTTATTCTTTGCTCGTAGATCATTCGTCTGAAACCCGACAACGTAGAAAGGTCGATTTCCATGACTTTCATCTTGTCCTCTTGCTCCTTTAGCTTCAACTCTTTCTCCTTTAGCTTCAACCTCTCTTCTTCTCGGAGATTGAACAACCGAAGTTGTTCAACCATTGCCCGGCCGATTTCGTCGCGAGAAGAAACGAAAACAGAGCCGGACCCTCCCGAACCCGAGGCAATGGATTTTGCCTTCTTTCTTCCGAGCCGGACCACATCGCGGCGTCGCTTGGCGCGAGATTGTCAGGAAAGAAGCCGGAGCCGGAAGAATTCATGTTGAAAAGAGAGGGGGTGATTTCGAAATTTAAAAATGTGGGAAGAAGAAGATTGAAGAAGGTGTGAGAGATTGGGAGGGGGGTTTGAATTTATAACAAAAAAAATTCTTTTTTTTTGGTCTTCAATAGCTATTATAGCCGTTAAGGGGGGAGGGGGGAGGCGAATGACCCGCAGCATTCGTTTGACGCAGCCCCGATCACGCCCCGTTAACGCCGCCGGGGGGCGGTGTTTAATGCCCCCGGGGCGTTAAACGCACCCTAACGCCGACGGGCGTAACGACCATACCCAGTGCCCTTACGGAGGGCATGATATGCAATTTTTTATTGTTATTGGTAAAGTACTTACAAGGTCAATATATTTTTTTAAAAGTACTTCTCAAATTACTGAATTATTTTAAGGGTCCGTTTTGTACACGGAATTGATGGAATTTGAATTGAATTGGAATTAAAATCTCATGAGATCCAATTCCATAGAATTGAATTCACCCATTCCAATTCATTTTTTGCACTAACAATTTCAAATTCACATAATTTTTGTGCTACCAAACACGAGCATTGGAATTGAAGTCTTCAATTCCAATTCCATAGTTTGAATTCCGTGTACCAAACGGGGCCTAAGTGCTTACATGTACTCTATTCGAGTGTTTATCTTATCCCTATTCTTTTTAACTAGTGCGTTAGTGGTCCCTTCGATTGTTTTTTTAAGACCAAGTCTTCTGAAATTGTTGTAAGAATTAACGTTATATCATTAACTTTCGAACAACGTAACTTGTGCGTGTTGCTCAAATAATTTCCGTGTACTTTACAAAGCCACCGAAGAGACTTTTAAAGCATAAGTTTAAAAGCATGAGAACCTGGTATGAACTAAAAATAATTTAGGGACATATGAAACACTTTCTTAAATATATAAGAATCTAGTAAGTACTTAAAATAATACAGAATATAAAAAGAACTTTCAAAAAAAATATAGAGACCTTGTAAGCAGAT